AAATCGTGCGTGTCTCTCCGTCTGTCTTTAGCAGCATAGTATAGTCCAACGTGTATTTCTGATCCGATATAATCCTCAACACTTTTCACAATCTTTTCGACACTCTCCTGCCCAATTGGCAAGTCTGCCAATGTCAATTTGAACTTGAAATAAGTGTCATTGATCTCTTTAAGCGATTTGTGCAATTTGTCAAGTCTTTCTTCTTTCACAACAACAAACGCTTCTCTCTCACTCTCAATCATCAACTTGACCAATGCTGTTTTAACTGTATCCAAAAATTCGTTTAATTGGTAAATAATACACGTTCGAAGAACTTGTATAACGCATTTCTCGCAACACAGTTGTTCTTTTTCACTTGAAGCAAAAGCATTCTCTGCAATTATATGCAGCCAAGAAGTGTCTTGAAAACACCATTGTGTAATAGTCAGACACATTCTGGACTTGTGTGATTCGTGGTGCGTTGCATTCATAGAAGTATACAAACGACCCAACACACTTCAAAAAGTCTGTTTTTAGGAGTTGGACCAAAGTCGCGTATTTGTCCACTGTCAAAGCTTCTTCCATTTTAGAGTACTTTCCCCTCTCTTTATCGTTATTCATTGCCTTCTTCCTTGTGTCGTCCGATGTCGACAACGTGAACAAATACATGTCCATACATTTCTTCACTATTTTTCTCCAATAAACACTAAGTAACACAACAATGAAATTTCCAAGGGCTTCATTACATGTGAATATCTTAGTAATGTTTTTACCTTTTGCTCTCAATTTAACATACTGAGCAAACACAGTACAAAATGTTTTCAGTTGCACATTAAATTTGTCAATATAATTTGTGTCGCTCTGTATTTTACCATAGTGATAAATAAGCCTTGAACCTTCTAAGTACAACACCAGACTCTTTTCTATCATTTTTAAGAATACGGGTATCATGTTCATCGTCGTTTGAACGTATTTAAGTTCAAAACTCTCATTCAAAGTCTATACATTTTGCTTTTCCATGTATTTCTGGAAAAACTCTCTCAATGAAGTTAAAAATGGGAGGGAAATAAGAATTTTGTTTGTTTTATTTTGCAAATTAAATTTCAAGAACAGTTCAAATGACAATTTTATTTTAAAAAGTTTATAGTTTATCAAAAAAAAGTTAAATAGTTATGTCAAATACTTGAATTGCTTCAACTCCGTCGTTTTCGTCTCTGTTTTCAATATGTCGGTTGCTGAAAATTTGACGTCATACAACCCAAAGATGATATCAAGCAACTTGGAAAATATGCGAGTGGTGTCCATGACAAATTTTCAAACCGCTTAAATGGTATCTGTGACCTTTTTAAATGAATTGTTTATCGCTTTTGGTTTTTGAAATTTGTATGTAACGAGTTAAAATGTTTATAAACATTTTAACTTTGAGTGTTAAATTGGACATAATCCTGATCTTAAACCGAAGTGTTTGTTCTCTTTTTAATCTGCAATTTGGGTCTTTTTTGTTGGTGTTGTTTTCATTTGTAAAACCATGAAACCCATGAATGGTGTTGTCTCCACATCAAACAACTTGTCCCATTTGAATAAAAAACAAATAAGTAAGTATGAATTATTTTTATTTTTTTTTTTCACAAAACATATTTTCCAAAAAAATGTTTTGTTGATGAAAACGCCAATACCGTTAGTGTTTTAATTAAAATATTTCCAAAAATTGAAGAAAAACAAGAAAACCTATAAATTATTGTTTGTGCGATTGGTTTGTTTACTCTTTACATTTCAAAAGAGTCGCCACAAGGTGAGTTTTTTTGTATATCATATCAAGTTCAAAAAAACAAAAAAAAGTTAAAATTCGCAATCTTTAAAAAAACTGTATTTCTAATTATATTGTTAAACTGTTGTAAACACATAAGAATGAATTCTCGGGGAAAGTTTGTAAAGTAGTGAATATACACTTTTCTCAATTAATTTTCTTTTTAAAACATATTTTACAAAAATAAACAAATTAGAAATACCTGATTTATTTCAATAACTTATATGGATTGTCGTTTTTAATGGGAAACATTTATTACCAATTAATGTTACACTACATGGTATTGTAACATTGCTAAGGTTATAACATTCATTGAAACAACATTTACCAATTGTTTTAATATATTTTGGTATTTTAACACTGCTGAGTTTATTACATTTACTGAAACATTCATCACCAATTGATTTTACATATGATGGTAAATTTACATTGCTCAAACTTTTGCATTCTTTAAAACATTGATTACCAATTAATTCAACATTTGAAGGTATCGTAACACTGCTAAGATTAATACAATAAATAAAACAACTATCACCAATTGATGTCACACTTGATGGTAATGTAATACTTTTTAAAGCACCACATTTATAGAAACAAAAATTACCAATTGATGTCACACTTGATGGTAATATAACACTTCTTAGACTTCCGCATTTAAAGAAAAATTTATCACCAATAGATTTCACACCAAATGATATTGTAACAATATTTAGTCTACAACATTTATAGAAACAACCTTCATCAATGAATGTTACACTTGATGGTATTGCAATGCAAGTCAAATTTTGACATTCACTAAAACAGTTATTACCAATATGATTCACACTTGATGGTATTATAATACTACTTAAATTGTTACATCCACGGAAACACATACCAGGAATTGTTATGATACTTAATGGTATTGTAACATTACTTAAACTATCACATTTATGGAAACAACCTTTACCAATATATGTCACACTAGATGGTATTGTAATACTGCTTAGACTTTTACATAGACTGAAACACTGATCACCAATTGATATAACACTAAATGGTATCGTTATACTTGTTAAACTACTGCATCCACAGAAACAACCAATAGCAATTGATGTGACATTCGATTGTATTGTAACACTACTTAGACTATTACAATTAAAGAAACAATATTCACCAATTGATGTGACACTTGATGGTATGTTATTACCAAATTTCTCACAATCGGTTTGAGTGTAAATAATATTATAAAACTCAAAGTTTCGACATTTGTTTTTGTCAACAGTTTCAAAATCAACATTGAACCACACAATAATTCGATAAAACACTTTTTCAAAAACAGCTTTATCTTCACAATCTTCATTTTTTTCTTCAAACTTGGTGTTGATAAAAATTTTATTGCCGAAGTTCTCATCTTCTTTATTCCATAAATGAAGTGTCTCG